AGAATACTCTTTGTTATATGGTCGAGCTTTCGAGAATGTTTAATACCTTTATCAAGACATCTACAAGAAATTTTATACATTGCAACAAAATTGTAAAACAGATAGGTAAAAAATGTACTTACTAACTTGAGGTTATAGTAAAAAGTCTGAGGTGGCAATTAGAAAAACAAAGTTCATACTTTTCATCGTGTAGAAAAGTGTCACACATTCAGTTAAAGTTACAGAGAAAAAGTACAAAAAACTTATTTTATTTGAACATTTAAAATTATTTCACTGGCCATGCTTGGCACATACTCGGTGACGTGGTAGCAACCAAAAAGAGAGGGGAAAGAGAAAATATTTGAATTTTGATAATTGACATTCTGAAAAGACATTTGAAGTTTGACGATTTGACAGAGAAAACAACAGGATTACCAAAAGGCACACCAACCCCATGGCCGGCAGCTGTGGATTACTACTTGAAATGCTCATACGATGACACTCTATCCTTCTATAGGGCATATCGTGGAGAGAATTGTATGTAATGGTTCGCTGATGAGATGGGTCAGCCAGCTGATGATATGACTACAGTGTTTTGTCCATACGACATTGATATGAAAGTTCGCGAAAATAACCATCTCATACCATGTCGTAAAGTAACTTGTTTTGGAATCGTTTGATTTTTAATTTTCCATTTCTTGTTAATAATTTTTTAATTTTCATCTCCTGGTCATAGTTCAATTTTTTTTATTTATTTTTTATTTTTTTGGTGTTGCCTGTATTTTATTCCATTGTAATTTCAAATTTTTTGCTTGATATAATTGTTATTTTTCAGCTTTTTTTTTAATTTTTTACAGATTTCTTCGGAGATTTCAAATCAATTTATATCATATTAGACAAAGGATGTCCGAACTAATGAAATGTTTAGGAAATATGTTTTATTATTCATATACATAACTGATCACCGTATTTCACGATTTTTTAAAATCATTTCGGCAGCTCTTCCCAATGTATTAATGTACCTTCGAGTCGGGACGAGAACCAATTCGAAGTGCGATTCAATCAACAAATCGAGGCCGGCCCCATCGCTATCAACAACTCACAATTATTCCAATATATCACGTTGGTGTCGAGGCTAACGATCAAGCCTACCGCGCCGACGATCTGGTTTCAATTCTCTAACCGATAATTATTTCATTTCAATTCCCATGCAATTTTCAGTCACTGATGGTAACTGGGACCACGTGACTGGTGAGCTTGGATAGGTGGTCTGTCTCGTTGAAATGAGAACAATTCTGCGCTTTCATGAAAACGTTACATGAAACGATTTGAAATCCCTTCATACCCCCAATGACGCGAGTTTTCTTTGACCCCACCTCTCCTCCATTTTCCACCTAAAATTTGACAAATGACACGTATTCAAACACGAAAACGAATAAACGTTCGCAAAACGGTCGAAAGGCATGTGAAACGTTTTTTAAAATGTCATCGCTAAATACTCTACCCTACTACCGTTACCCCATTGCCCTATTTTCAAACGATAACTACACAATATGACTACGTTTCTTATTGACATCGCACGTTGAAACGCTATACTCCCGTAAAACTAATCAAATGATATATTTTTGAAACACCCTGTACGCATTGAGGGATCGCACGTTGAAACGTTGAACCTCGTTGAGCCTCGTTGAACTGTCACGTTTTTTCTCAAATTATATATTTTGTCATAACTTAACACCATGTTTTTTTCTTTTACGTTAGCAGCCATGTGTTTTCTTTAACGCTGCACACCCTGTATATTCCACTCAATGCCCGCCGCCATGTTTTTTCTTCAAGCCGATATTTCATTCATTATTATTATACCATTATTTTTATAATTCATCCACCTTGTTATCTTTCAACTGAATCTATCCGATACACATTCTATTTTTCTATACATCGATTACCTCGCACCTGTCTCTTTCCCACAAACATAGCGACGCCCTCCAGCGAATACGCCACAGATTCTGCTTTGCTGCTCCACCAGTAATCTTTGAAATTTGAAATTCTTTCTCATATCTGTGCAGTGAATTTAAAGTATTTCAAATTATAAATTTTTTCAGCGGGCAGCTTACTGATTATATTCGAAACAAGGAGTGACTCGACAGTCGCAACAGTTCTTTAACGTGAACCTTCTGAAGATGCTGGATGTCTTCTATAGATTTTCTTTTTACTGTTGAGCTATTTTCTCAAAAATAAATCAGAAGGCATAAAATCTTGCCTTTTCCCATTTCAGTACCGTGGAGAAAGTTGATTTACTTTTTTCATACTTCATAAAATCCAGTTACACCAGAATTTTCCAGACAGTTTGAATACAGTCAACAAGTCTATATGTTAACGTGAACTTTTACCTGGTATTGATGGATATCATTACCACGAAAGTCTGCAATCTGAACCTCATTCTATCTGATAAGAATTGCAAATTTAACAAAACAAAATTTTCAACCGATAGAATGTTGAACATATTAGGAGAATTTTGCAACTGCGATGATACCTCATAATTCATTTACACGATAATTCATTTTCAACATACATTACTGGCAGGGCCGTAGCAAAAAGAAATACCAGGGGGGAATCCAAATTTTACCAACCTCACCAGCAAAATTTACCAACTTTCGAAAAAATGAAAGCCGAGGGATTAGTTACTACTGCAATATAATAATTTTCATACTTCAACTATCCAAAGATTGGCTGAATGCTTATGCCCGTTAGGGTATGCACAAACAAAAATAAGTTTTGGTAATATAAAAATAATAATGGGAATTATTCTACTTTGGACCAAGGTCTTTGGTCTTCCACCATATCCGCCATGTATAGGAATATTCAATACAAATGAAAGAAAACAACACTTAAATAACATTGTGCTTATTGTTTTCTACTATTATTTATCTTCACGGTCCGAAATTTCCCAACTTTTTCAAATCGAAAGAACAGCGAAAAGTTTGGAATTTTGTAAAATTGTTACTTCAAAATTTGTGGACTGTTCTCTTACTTGGGAGAAATTAAACTTTTTTGAAGTTTTCAAACAACTCAGAATTTCAAAGTATGGGATCTCCACTTATGATGCACTGTTTGGAACCTTTGGTGTAGTAATGAATATTACTGGAGTTTTTTCAAAGACGAAGATTAAAACTCACTTTGAAGATGATCACTTGGTGATCGAAACACGTGTCGAGGTGTTGAAAATAACGATTTGGTGTTGGGAAAAAACTCCAGTAATATTCATGGGATCTCCAAGCATGTTGGAAAATCCCAACTTTCTCCCTTTCTTTTCTCTCATTTTTATTTTTTTAATTTTCATTCAATTTTTCACTATTATTTTTTTCTATCTTCACGGCCCAAAATTTCCCAACTTTTTCCCAAGTCGAAAAAGCAGGGGGGACGCTCCTCCCCCTCCCCCATGGCGACGGCCCTGATTACTGGATATTTACTTGATATATCCTGTTAATTTTTTCATGTGGAATTCTGTTGAAAACGAAACGATGGGACGTTGTGAGTTTTTCGTATTATGCAATACTTCGTTTCAGTTTATTCAACAATTTTCAATGAAAACATAACCAATATTTTAAAATATTATGAAATACAAGGTGGCCAAACTGAAAGAAAATATATCCATTCGGAAAAACGCGAGTATCTGTCAGTTTTTGACTGAAATTGAACTGAAAATCTATAGGTCCTTGCGGATCCATTTCGTTTTCGTATAAACGACTATATTACAAGGCTGTTGGGTATACTAATAGTATTCTTTTAGATATTCTGGACTCGGCACCTGGATCTCTAACTTAGGCACATTTACCTACTTCAGAAAAAAAAAAAAACAATTTTTCGCTTCAATGACGAATCCAAATTCAATTTAGTAACATGTTTTTTATAATGATCTGTAATGATATTTTCAAACTTTTTCGAAGGATATTTCTACCGGAGTTGCAGACATCGCTCTAACAGGAGGTGTTGAAAATATGTCAGCAGCTCCATATATGATTAGAGACATCAGATTTGGTGGGATTCCTTTGGGAAAAAGTCCTGTTCTGGAAGACGCCTTTTGGGAAAGCAGTCTTGATACGTTCTGCGGTTTAAGAATGCCCCTTACGGCGGAAAAACTGGGAGGACAGTACAATCTCACTAAAGAGGAAGTGGATCAGTTTGCCTTCAACTCCCAACAACGATGGAAAAAAGGTAATTTTTCACAAACTCTCAATAACTTATAAAAGCAATAATAATATTGTCGATACGAAAGTGGTTTTTCAGTTTATAAATATAAATCTTTGAAATGAAACCTGAAGTCAAATTCAATTTTAATAGATGCCTTACTATAGGATGTGTCCGAAATTTGTGTTCCCACTAAAAATTGCCTTTTCCAAAACTCACAATAACTTCTTTACTTTAATGTCGAAATTCGGTGAAATTATTTTCAGAGTAACTTTCATGGGTAATTTGACTTTATGTGAAATTTTCTAATTCCGACGTTTTCATTGTTTAGGACGTCAATATGAATATTCACTACAATGAAATGGATTATTTGTTGATTCACAACAAAAAAAGCAGTTTTGAAAAAAAATTGGAAAAATATATCATCAATCAACAACACATACTAGATAGTATTTTTCAATCGTGTTTTATTTGATATCCTTTCGACAGTAGGACATTTATTAAAAACGCACACATTGAACAATAATATAGCTAGGTTTCAGCGCAAACTCCCGTGTATTTTTTTATGTCGCTTCATTCTGACGATTTTAGGACCTCAGGACTAGTTCTCGAAGGTCTGCGCCTCGTCTCTGTAAGACGTCCATTATGTGTGAACTAGCCTCCAAAGCTCAAATCAGTCCACCTCCACTCCCCTACTTTTGCCGTCATACAGTCGACCAATCAGAAGCATGTACAGCGAGAAATTCAAATCGGTAGATGAACAACCCGTCTTTACACTTCAAGGTCGCGCGTCGTTGGTAAATGTTTTGGAGAGACTTTAGTAAGTGGAAGAGAGAAACGTGTGACGTTATCGATACAGAGAAGGATGGAATGTGTATGGAAGATATTCAAAGAGCGTGGGCCCCATAGTGACCCTGCCTCACCTCTCAGGCATTCTTAGTCCTATATCCCTGAACCCTCTTGTCGCGCACCAGTAACGTGGTCCTAGTGGGTATCAGCAGCTGAAGGAAATTCAATAAAAAAATATCCTTAGATTTGAGTAAGAATTGATGTTTCATAAGAGGTGTGCGTGTGTGTGTAAGACTGAGAGACCCGTGTGACGTAATCGATGCCGAGAGAGATGGAGATAGTATCGAGGTGATACGTCGCTAAAGCAAGCACGACAGGTTCGGTGCTGTCGGTCGTAAAATAAATCGTTGTTTATGGGGTGATGTAGCATTTGAAGCGTTGCCGGTTTCAAAATCAAGCATGAAAGGTTTGGAATACGACTCTATAAATATTGTATGATAAAGAGATGACAACGACTAGGAGGGTCTAACGTTTCAACGTGTGTTCCAACATGTCAGAACACTAGGTCGTATCTTTATTAACCAAGTTAGTGTTATTTGCTTTTAATGAAATGGAGTCTAGTATTAATTATTTAATAATATTTTCTAACATTCGTAATAATCGTGGTACATGTGACTATAACGAAGACGCCGCCATTACTAACTTCTTGACAGAAAAGCATCAATTGTCATAAGACATATAAGACAGTCTTGCCAAAATACTAAACTAACACCCCCCACAATTTAATAAACTGAACATTCCTAGCGTAATGGGTAAATACCCTATAAAAAACACAAAATTAAGAAGAAGATTACATAAACAACAAACATCAATTGTAACCTAAAAATTCAACAAGTTCGTTAAATTGGACAATATGTAAACCTTTGGTCAATAAATCAGCTTCTTAAAGTTTTGATTCAACATACATTAATTGTATCAATCCTGTACATCTTTACAAAACTGATTCTTACATCAATGTGTTTCAATTTATTTCCACATGTACTTTGTTTGGCTATGTGAATAACACTTTTATTATCTTCATTAATTTAGGTAGGAATAACTTGTGTTAAATCAAATCCTTTTGTATCCACATCACTTCTGAAATTGTTATGCTTAGTGCAACAAACTCTGCTTCACAAGAAGATGAAGCTACACAGTTTTATTTACAAGACGACCAATGCACCAAGTTTCCGAAAACTTTGAATACAAAACCAGTCGTAGACTTTCTTGTGTTTATATCACTGGCCCAAGGCCGTAGCCAGGATGGGATCAAGGGGGATTGATCCTCCCCTCAAAAGTTCTACAAGCAACGGCCATCCAAAATTATATTAAATACAACGATTGGCTTGTTTAAACATCACAGAAGGTTGCGATGATGGCCATGTTACGATTGCGCACGATTGGTGTAAACCTAGAAGTAGGAATGGGTCAATTGAGGTTGAGCCTGTGGCGAGAAGCTTACTGCGTAACCTCTACTGCAGACAAACAGTGATACAATTGAACCCAGGTTTGTGTTTAATAAACCCTACAAAATACAAATAAAACAGAACACTCAGTCAGATGCTACAAATTCAATACGCATATATACAGACGGCTCAAAAACCAAAGAAGGCTCAGGATGTGGAGTGTACTCCAGACCACTAAGCCTAAGGATTAAGTGGGGAATGGGAAAAAATACCAGCGTGGTCCAAACAGGCTGGTATCTCAATCGCCACATAAGAAATAACCAGGAAAGGAATTTCTGGCAAAAACTTAACAATTTGCACTGATAGCAGACAGGCCCTATTAGCCTTGAACAGACAACGTTTACCTCAGGGCTAGTACTAGAGTGCCACAAGAGTGGATTAAAGGGCACGACAGGAGTAAAAGTAATCGCATTGCCAACTCTTTAGCCAAGGAAGCGGCTGGACTATGAATTGTAGGACCCAGTGGCACCTACGGCCTGATGACTTCGACAATTGCAAAACTATCCAAACGTTACACCCATGCTCAATCCATAAAGAAATGGGATGAAATCAAAGGATGCAATCTTGCCAGGATCACCCTGGGCGACCCTGGGAAGCTGGCGCCGTGGAAATATCTGGCGATGACCAGATATATCTATACTCAACAGTAGGATTTCTGACTGGTCACTGTCAAATGAGAAAACACTTCCATAATATGGGGCTAGTGGACACACCTCTATGCAGGTGTCCTATGCGAGTGTCCGGAGTTATCGTCAATAAGAGAGTGTGTGTTCGGCGAGTCTTGGCCTACACCGATATGAAGGCGATGTCTCCTAGTGATCTGTCCACCTTCCTGGAAAGGACAGGATGGACGATGACCTAGGAGGACAACTCCTCGGGAGAATATACAATGGGTCACATGTGGCCTAAGTGCTGTGGGCTTACACTCAGCCTCCCTACTCTACAGATACAGGTATTATTGGAATTATAAAATCCGTTAGAAATTTTATCAAGTCCTTGGAAAAACGAACCAAGTGCCTGAAAGATAATATTGAAAAAAACTTTCCCGAAACACAATGGAAAAACCTTACGGCAATGTGCGTACGAACTTTTAAAGATCTTGGCGACACTACCTGTTTCCACATGTACCCGTGAAAGGACTTTCCCTTCTCTGAAACGCCTCAAAACTCATTTAAGAAACTCCACAAGACATGAACGACTAAACGGTTTGGCGTTATTGTCAATCCACCATAGAATTGACGTCGATACCGAGGAGGTAATTGATTTGTTTGCTGCAAAGAAAGCTAGAAAAATAAATTTGATTTCATAAAAAGATGTTAATATTTCTGTAATAGTTTTCTGATAAATATATTTGATCATTAATGAATCGAAGAGGTTTTTGTATTAAAGTGTATAATTTTTAAAATTCTTGCAAAGCGCTTTCGACTTTCGTCATCATCAATGCTTACCTGAAAATAAGTGATCTAGTTGAAAAGGGAATTTAGTGATAATTGAAGTTGTAAAATTTTTTAAGGTTAAGAAGTTTGGAAAAATTGTTTGAGATTACTTACTTGTCAGGCAACAGGAAGTATCAAATTAAGTAAATTGCACATTTGTAATATTTGACTTATATAAAACAAAATAGGCTTATAGCCAAGAAAATACCTTTTTGGATTGAGGCTATGTGGTTCAGTCAAAGTATCATATGAAGAAGGACAACTTGAGACAGAATGTGTCAAGTGTCATGTTAAAATAATGGTACCAACTTGAGGAGTGATCCATTATGGATTTGATTGAATATGTAGAGGAAAAATATTTGATAAATTAAATTAATAAAATGTGATTAATTAATAATTCATAATCCTCTTATGAAGGGGAAGGAAATCTCTGTTTAAGTTTACTTGGGTATTCAAACAATGATCATTGTTGGAAAGTTCTTTAGAAATCTCCAACTCTTCAAACAAATCAAGTCTAAGGAAATTTTTATTATCTATTTTATGTAATATTTTGGAATTTCTATTGGGACTAAAGTTGTGATTGTGAAATTTTATGTGGTGGCCAAAAGCAGATTTGTCAGGTTTTTTTTAATGTTCATTAATACGAGTAACAAGAGGTCTACAGGTTCTACCAATGTAAGATGCCGAACAATCAGAACAGTCAAGCTTGTAGACTCCACTTCTGTGTAATTTATTGATTTTGTGTTTAGAATTTGCTAAAGAGTTACTTAAGTTGTTTTGAGATTTAAAAGAAATGTTTGTACCAGGTATGGTATTTTCTATAAATTTGAAAATAACAGTACCTACACATATTTTGATCAAAATAAGGTAAGGAAAGATATCTCACAGAAGGTGAATTAACCAAGGTGGTAGAGTTGAAGGCCAATCTTCTATCTGATCTGAGTTTAAATTTACTAATTAATTTGTGAATAATGGATGGTTGATAACCATTGTTGACAGCAATCTGTTTTAAAGTATTTAATTCTCAATTGAAATTGGAGGGAGATAAGGGAATGTTCAACAATCTGTTAACATAACAATTGAAGGAGGCCATTTTATGTTGCATAGGATGAAATGAATTGAAAGGAATGACATGATCAGTCTGGGTTGGCTTTCTGTAAATGGAAAAATCTAGTTTGTTGTTAGTTTTTGTTATAGTTAGATCTAAAAAGTTTAATTTATTGTCTTTTTCTATTTCAAGTGTGAATTTAATTTTTGGATGTAAGTTATTTAAGGATTCAAGGATATCATGTGCTAC